TAATGTCCTCCTGTCTATTTGTCTCTTAATGTCCTGTCTATTTGTCTCTTAATGTCCTGTCTATGTGTCTCTTAATGTCCTCCTGTCTCTTAATGTCCTCCTGTCTATTTGTCTCTTAATATCCTCCTGTCTATTTGTCTCTTAATGTCCTCCTGTCTCTGTCTCTTAATGTCCTCCTGTCTATTTGTCTCTTAATGTCCTCCTGTCTCTGTCTCTTAATGTCCTCCTGTCTCTTGTGTCTCTTAATGTCCTCCTGTCTATGTGTCTTTAATGTCCTCCTGTCTATTTGTCTCTAATGTCCTCCTGTCTCTGTGTCTCTTAAGTCCTCCTGTCTATTTGTCTCTTAATGTCCTCCTGTCTCTGTGTCTCTTAATGTCCTCCTGTCTATTTGTCTCTTAATGTCCTCCTGTCTATGTCTCTTAATGTCCTCCTGTCTATTTGTCTCTTAATGTCCTCCTGTCTCTGTGTCTCTTAATGTCCTCCTGTCTATTTGTCTCTTAATGTCCTCCTGTCTATTTGTCTCTTAATGTCCTCCTGTCTATTTGTCTCTTAATGTCCTCCTGTCTATTTGTCTCTTAATGTCCTCCTGTCTCTGTGTCTCTTAATGTCCTCCTGTCTCTGTGTCTCTTAATGTCCTCCTGTCTATTGTCTCTTAATGTCCTCCTGTCTATGTGTCTCTTAATGTCCTCCTGTCTATTTGTCTCTTAATGTCCTCCTGTCTATTTGTCTCTTAATGTCCTGTCTATGTGTCTCTTAATGTCCTCCTGTCTCTTAATGTCCTCCTGTCTATTTGTCTCTTAATGTCCTCCTGTCTCTGTCTCTTAATGTCCTCCTGTCTATTTGTCTCTTAATGTCCTCCTGTCTATTTGTCTCTTAATGTCCTCCTGTCTCTGTCTCTTAATGTCCTCCTGTCTCTGTCTCTTAATGTCCTCCTGTCTATGTGTCTCTTAATGTCCTCCTGTCTATGTGTCTCTTAATGTCCTCCTGTCTATTTGTCTCTTAAAGTCCTCCTGTCTCTGTGTCTCTTAATGTCCTCCTGTCTCTGTCTCTTAATGTCCTCCTGTCTATGTGTCTCTTAATGTCCTCCTGTCTATGTGTCTCTTAATGTCCTCCTGTCTATTTGTCTCTTAATGTCCTGTCTCTGTCTCTTAATGTCCTCCTGTCTCTGTGTCTCTTAATGTCCTCCTGTCTATGTGTCTCTTAATGTCCTCCTGTCTATGTGTCTCTTAATATCCTCCTGTCTATTTGTCTCTTAATGTCCTCCTGTCTCTGTGTCTCTTAATGTCCTCCTGTCTATGTGTCTCTTAATGTCCTCCTGTCTCTTAATGTCCTCCTGTCTATGTGTCTCTTAATGTCCTCCTGTCTCTGTGTCTCTTAATGTCCTCCTGTCTATTTGTCTCTTAATGTCCTCCTGTCTCTGTCTCTTAATGTCCTCCTGTCTATTTGTCTCTTAATGTCCTCCTGTCTATTTGTCTCTTAATGTCCTCCTGTCTCTGTCTCTTAATGTCCTCCTGTCTATTTGTCTCTTAATGTCCTCCTGTCTCTTAATGTCCTCCTGTCTCTGTCTCTTAATGTCCTCCTGGCTCTGTCTCTTAATGTCCTACTGTCTATTTGTCTCTTAATGTCCTCCTGTCTATTTGTCTTAATGTCCTCCTGTCTCTGCTCTTAATGTCCTCCTGTCTATTTGTCTCTTAATGCTCCTGTATTTGTCTCTTAATGTCCTCCTGTCTATTTGTCTCTTAATGTCCTCCTGTCTCTGTCTCTTAATGTCCTCCTGTCTCTGTCTCTTAATGTCCTCCTGTCTATTTGTCTCTTAATGTCCTCCTGTCTCTGTCTCTTAATGTCCTCCTGTCTCTGTCTCTTAATGTCCTCCTGTCTCTTAATGTCCTCCTGTCTATTTGTCTCTTAATGTCCTCCTGTCTATTTGTCTCTTAATGTCCTCCTGTCTCTGTCTCTTAATGTCCTCCTGTCTATTTGTCTCTTAATGTCCTCCTGTCTATTTGTCTCTTAATGTCCTCCTGTCTCTGTCTCTTAATGTCCTCCTGCTCTTAATGTCCCTGTCTCTGTGTCTCTTAATGTCCTCCTGTCTATTTGTCCTAATGTCCTTCCTGTCCCTCTGTCTCTTAATGTCCTCCTGTCTCTGTCTCTTAATGTCCTCCTGTCTCTTAATGTCCTCCTGTCTCTGTGTCTCTTAATGTCCTCCTGTCTATTTGTCTCTTAATGTCCTCCTGTCTCTGTCTCTTAATGTCCTCCTGTCTCTTAATGTCCTCCTGTCTCTGTGTCTCTTAATGTCCTCCTGTCTATTTGTCTCTTAATGTCCTCCTGTCTATTTGTTCTCTTAATGTCCTCCTGTCTATTTGTCTCTGAATGTCCTCCTGTCTCTGTCTTCTTATGTCCTCCTGTCTATTTGTCTCTTAATGTCCTCCTGTCTTTTTGTCTCTTAATGTCCTCCTGTCTATTTTGTCTCTTAATGTCCTCCTGTCTGTCTCTTAATGTCCTCCTGTCTATTTGTCTCTTAATGTCCTCCTGTCTCTGTGTCTCTTAATGTCCTCCTGTCTATTTGTCTCTTAATGTCCTCCTGTCTCTGTCTCTTAATGTCCTCCTGTCTATTTGTCTCTTAATGTCCTCCTGTCTCTTAATGTCCTCCTGTCTATTTGTCTCTTAATGTCCTCCTGTCTATTTGTCTCTTAATGTCCTCCTGTCTCTGTCTCTTAATGTCCTCCTGTCTATTTGTCTCTTAATGTCCTCCTGTCTATTTGTCTCTTAATGTCCTCCTGTCTATTTGTCTCTTAATGTCCTCCTGTCTATTTGTCTCTTAATGTCCTCCTGTCTCTGTCTCTTAATGTCCTCCTGTCTCTTAATGTCCTCCTGTCTCTGTCTCTTAATGTCCTCCTGTCTATTTGTCTCTTAATGTCCTCCTGTCTATTTGTCTCTTAATGTCCTCCTGTCTATTTGTCTCTTAATGTCCTCCTGTCTCTGTCTCTTAATGTCCTCCTGTCTCTGTCTCTTAATGTCCTCCTGTCTATTTGTCTCTTAATGTCCTCCTGTCTATTTGTCTCTTAATGTCCTCCTGTCTCTGTCTCTTAATGTCCTCCCTGTCTCTTAATGTCCTCCTGTCTCTGTGTCTCTTAATGTCCTCCTGTCTATTTGTCTCTTAATGTCCTCCTGTCTATTTGTCTCTTAATGTCCTCCTGTCTATTTGTCTCTTAATGTCCTCCTGTCTCTGTCTCTTAATGTCCTCCTGTCTATTTGTCTCTTAATGTCCTCCTGTCTCTGTCTCTTAATGTCCTCCTGGCTCTGTCTCTTAATGTCCTCCTGGCTCTGTCTCTTAATGTCCTCCTGTCTATTTGTCTCTTAATGTCCTCCTGTCTATTTGTCTCTTAATGTCCTCCTGTCTCTGTCTCTTAATGTCCTCCTGTCTATTTGTCTCTTAATGTCCTCCTGTCTCTGTCTCTTAATGTCCTCCTGTCTATTTGTCTCTTAATGTCCTCCTGTCTATTTGTCTCTTAATGTCCTCCTGTCTATTTGTCTCTTAATGTCCTCCTGTCTCTGTCTCTTAATGTCCTCCTGTCTCTGTCTCTAATGTCCTCCTGTCTATTTGTCTCTTAATGTCCTCCTGTCTATTTGTCTCTTAATGTCCTCCTGTCTCTGTCTCTTAATGTCCTCCTGTCTCTGTCTCTGAATGTCCTCCTGTCTCTGTCTCTTAATGTCCTCCTGTCTCTGTCTCTTAATGTCCTCCTGTCTATTTGTCTCTTAATGTCCTCCTGTCTATTTGTCTCTTAATGTCCTCCTGTCTCTGTCTCTTAATGTCCTCCTGTCTCTGTCTCTTAATGTCCTCCTGTCTCTGTCTCTTAATGTCCTCCTGTCTCTGTCTCTTAATGTCCTCCTGTCTATTTGTCTCTTAATGTCCTCCTGTCTATTTGTCTCTTAATGTCCTCCTGTCTCTGTCTCTTAATGTCCTCCTGTCTCTGTCTCTTAATGTCCTCCTGTCTCTGTCTCTTAATGTCCTCCTGTCTCTGTCTCTTAATGTCCTCCTGTCTATTTGTCTCTTAATGTCCTCCTGTCTATTTGTCTCTTAATGTCCTCCTGTCTCTGTCTCTTAATGTCCTCCTGTCTCTGTCTCTGAATGTCCTCCTGTCTCTGTGTCTCTTAATGTCCTCCTGTCTATTTGTCTCTTAATGTCCTCCTGTCTATTTGTCTCTTAATGTCCTCCTGTCTCTGTCTCTTAATGTCCTCCTGTCTCTGTCTCTTAATGTCCTCCTGTCTATTTGTCTCTTATTGTCCTCCTGTCTCTGTCTCTTAATGTCCTCCTGTCTCTGTCTCTTAATGTCCTCCTGTCTCTGTCTCTTAATGTCCTCCTGTCTCTGTCTCTTAATGTCCTCCTGTCTCTTAATGTCCTCCTGTCTATTTGTCTCTTAATGTCCTCCTGTCTATTTGTCTCTTAATGTCCTCCTGTCTCTGTCTCTTAATGTCCTCCTGTCTCTGTCTCTGAATGTCCTCCTGTCTCTGTGTCTCTTAATGTTGCTTGCTTATTCGTATTGTTTGTTTGCTCATTGTTTGCTTGTCTGTTTGCAGGCTGTCCCACCGTGTGATCCTCGGAGAGCACGACCGCTCTTCCAACGCTGAAGACATCCAGGTGATGAAGGTCGGCCAGGTGAGTGCAAACACATCGTCCAATCACAGGCCAGACCCTGCCGTGGTGACGTCCTCTAACATGTCACTTCCTGTCAGGTGTTCAAGCACCCCAGCTACAACGGCTTCACCATCAACAACGACATCCTGCTGGTGAAGCTGGCGTCCCCCGCCGTGATGAGCGTCCACGTGTCCCCCGTCTGCGTCGCCGAGGCCGGAGACAACTTCCCCGGAGGCATGAAGTGTGTGACGAGCGGCTGGGGGCTGACCCGCTACAACGGTGAGGGGGCGGGGCTAACCCTAACCAATCAGAGATAATGTTAGGCATGAAGTGTGTGACGAGCGGCTGGGGGCTGACCCGCCACAACGGTGAGGGGGCGGGGCTAACCTTAACCAATCAGAGATAATGTTAGGCATGAAGTGTGTGACGAGCGGCTGGGGGCTGACCCGCTACAACGGTGAGGGGGGCGGGGCTAACCTTAACCAATCAGAGATAATGTTAGGCATGAAGTGTGTGACGAGCGGCTGGGGGCTGACCCGCCACAACGGTGAGGGGGCGGGGCTAACCTTAACCAATCAGAGATAATGTTAGGCATGAAGTGTGTGACGAGCGGCTGGGGGCTGACCCGCTACAACGGTGAGGGGGCGGGGCTAACCTTAACCAATCAGAGATAATGTTAGGCATGAAGTGTGTGACGAGCGGCTGGGGGCTGACCCGCTACAACGGTGAGGGGGCGGGGCTAACCTTAACCAATCAGAGATAATGTTAGGCATGAAGTGTGTGACGAGCGGCTGGGGCTGACCCGCTACAACGGTGAGGGGGTGGGGCTAACCTTAACCAATCAGAGATAATGTTAGGCATGAAGCGGGAGAGCTGAAGCATAGCTTATGGGAAGTATAGCCCTCCCGTGAATCATCATTGGCATCAATATAACATTCGCATTATTTCGTCAAAATCCTATAGAAATCAAGGAGTACAAAGAAATAAAGAAAAATAAAGAAAACTGGAGAAAAATAAATAACAGTGAGGGTAAGAAAAAAATGAATGCATATATATAGGACAAACTAGATATAGGGTCGTTTTCTGCACATGTCAATAGCAGTTTCAAATACCATTTTAGAAAAGGAAAATACTATATATAAATATGTACACATGTATAAAAAACAAATGAATAATGATAGTAATAATATATGCATATAAACATTATGAACACTTATTTTCAAGAGACTTTTTTACATTCATATGTTCACACATACACAAAATAATAAACACCATATGTTCAAGTGTATAAGCTTGATGAGCTTTGAGCTCAGGAGTGAATGCTAATGTTAGCTTTTAGCTCCGGATTGAATGCTAATGTTAGCTTTTAGCTCAGGAATGAATGCTAATGTTAGCCTTTAGCTCCGGAATGAATGCTGATGTTAGCTTTTAGCTCAGGAATGAATGCTAATGGTAGCTTTTAGCTCCGGAATGAATGCTAATGTTAGCCTTTAGCTCCGGAATGAATGCTGATGTTAGCTTTTAGCTCAGGAATGAATGCTAATGGTAGCTTTTAGCTCAGGAATGAATGCTGATGTTAGCTTTTAGCTCAGGAGTTCATGCTAATGTTAGCTTTCAGCTCAGGAATTCATGCTAATGTTAGCTTTTAGCTCAGGAATTCATGCTAATGTTAGCTTTTAGCTCAGGAATGAATGCTAATTGTAGCTTTGAGCTCAGGAGTGAATGCTAATGTTAGCCTTTAGCTCCGGAATGAATGCTGATGTTAGCTTTTAGCTCAGGAATTAATGCTAATGGTAGCTTTTAGCTCAGGAATGAATGCTGATGTTAGCTTTTAGCTCAGGAGTTCATGCTAATGTTAGCTTTTAGCTCAGGAATTCATGCTAATGTTAGCTTTTAGCTCAGGAATTCATGCTAATGTTAGCTTTTGGCTCAGGAATGAATGCTATTGTTAGCTTTTAGCTCAGGAATTCATGCTAATGTTAGCTTTTAGCTCATGAATTCATGCTAATGTTAGCTTTTAGCTCAGGAATTCATGCTAATGTTAGCTTTTAGCTCAGGAATGAATGCTAATATTAGCTTTTGGCTCAGGAATGTAAAGCATCCTGTTACTGAGTGTTCAGATAGTCTGAGTTGTTGTTGACGGTGGTTGTTTGTTTGTTTTTGTGTTTGTTGTGCAGCTGCTGACACCCCCTCCCTGCTGCAGCAGGCCTCCCTCCCCCTGCTCACCAACGATGAGTGCCGTCGCTTCTGGGGAAGGAAGATCAGCGATCTGATGATCTGCGCCGGAGCCTCCGGAGCCTCGTCCTGCATGGTGAGGCTGGAACTGGAACACGCCACTGTGGGGTTGGATTTGCAGCAACCTAACAATATTGTTTTGGACCGATTAATATAAATCTGTGTGTGTTTGTGTTTCCTCAGGGAGACTCTGGTGGTCCTCTGGTCTGTGAGAAGGCTGGAGCCTGGACTCTGGTGGGCATCGTGTCCTGGGGCAGTGGTACCTGCACCCCCACCATGCCCGGAGTCTACGCCCGCGTCACCGAGCTGCGCAGCTGGATGGACCAGACCATCGCTGCCAACTAAACTGTCAGAACCTCAATAAAACCCTCTGAAACACTTCCTGTGCTGTGCTTTGTTCACCGGGCAGATGTTAGCCGTGTTAGCGTGTTGTGAAAAAAGCTGGATGTCTTAGCATAGCTTAGCATAAAGACCTGAAGCAGGGGAGAAGCAGTTAGCTCCCTCATTTATTAATGAGCGTGTGTCACACTTTATGTAGCCTCACCCTGAGGTAGGCGGTCTGTGCTGCAGATACCGATATCTACTGGAGAGCAGAAAGAATATAGGACACAAAGGGATGCACGTTAGCTAAAACCATGCATGCTCAACTTAGCTCAAATGAGCTCACGTGTTCTTGCCTGTTCTCGCAGTTCCACAGCGGCATTTAGCTTAGCTTAAGCCGTTAGCAGATACTGTCTAGCGGCTAATAAGCTTAATATCATCGACTCTGTATTTTACACACTGATTTTCCTGACTGGTTTTAACATCACCACCATCGTAACCCTCCTGTTGTGTTCCGCTCAAATCTGACCGATTTACTACTTTCGGCACTCGTAACTTTTGTGTTTTTCATTTGATTGCATCGAGGCTTTATTTAACCAGATGAAAGCATTGAGATAAAATGTCATTTACAATGCTGTCCTGGCCAAGAAGGCAGCAACGTAAGCCGGAGGATATCCTCCACAGTAAACATTTGAACGTATACAATTGCTAATCACCACATTCATTGAATTGTGGGTGGTTTAGTCAACTTTGTAACATCCATGGTGTTCCCGGTCAAAGATTACCACCATAAGAAATGAATGAGTAACCATCCATCAGATCCATCAATACAACCACACACCGAGCAGACTTAACAATGTATCATATATAATTCTGTGTGACTGGTGAAGCCACACACTGAATAGTATTCGACATACTTATTTATTAGTGTGAATACTGTGCAACAGCATTTCTATAGTTCTTCTGTTTCTCTTTAATCTTCTTCTTCTTATTTCAACCAATATTTTGCCGTCGAATAACTTCAGTCTACTTTCAGCTACAGAAATCATTCAAATATCAAAATATTCAGCACACGATGGGAAACTTTCAACTTTTTCAAAATATGTTATACTTTTTGAAATATTCAGCTTTTTAAACTCTTTTTTTAACATGGAACTCAATGGGAGGAACCTTCAACTCCTCTTTTACCTACACCTTGCACCAAATGCTACTCCTTCCACATACTTTCAGCTACAGAAACCATTCAAATATTAAAATGTTCAGCTCCTTCAGGACATGTGTGCTATGACTTTTCGAGATATTTAACTTTGGAGCTTGGAAGAGAGGGCTTCTTCAGATTTTAACATTAGTGTGTATTGCGCCGCTCGTTAAGTCTAGAGTGCTTTGATCTCAAAACAGAGTGCAGGAGTGCTTGAAATTCGCCCAACATATATTTTTTAAACCTGCCATAATTCCCAAACCCTACACTCCTTGGACATCATTTTTCATGAAAAACGTAGGAAAAGCTCTCCTAAAACTTTCAACATGTCTCCATTAAGGCCCATTGTAAGTGCAGCCTGATCTGTCCTCAGAGCACCAGCTGCACACCTTTAGTACATCTGCCAAAAAGCCACATTATTGACCCGAAAGTACACAAAAAGCAGACCGGCGCTCCTCATGGTCCTGACATCCTCCACGCGTTGACATTTTACGAAAGCAGCTACAGTTTTTAAACTATAGTTGGAAATGTAAGAGGTTTATCTCTTATTCAGAACAATGGAAAGGCTCTCCTTTCACAGCACATCTCCATGGAAACCTTTGATCTCTGGGCTCATGTACACAGGTGTTTGATAACGTCGTCACCATGGTAACCTTTGATCTCTGGGTTTACACACACAGGTGTTTGATGGCATTCATTCACTACTGCTTACATTTCATATCCAACTCCTTTAGTCTACTTTCAGCTATAAACCATTCAACTATTAACTTATTCAGCTATTTCAAGACTTTGAGGCTATACATGTTGTTTATAACCTTTTTAAACCTTTTCTTTTAAATATTAAGCTTGTTCACTATTTTTCCTCCTCTTCCAGTTTAACATTTCACTTTCAAGTTTTCAACAAAGTCATTGCAATGCATTTGAGCTGTAACAATTTTGATTCAAATCATTTCACTTTTCTCCATTTTTTCCCTATCTCTGTTTCTTATCTATCTAATAGAACTACTCGGGTCTTGATAGATTGAGTGGGGAAGTTCATGAGATCTTTCTAGAGGGTTATCAAGAATAACTTTTATCCAATGACCTTTCCCCTCTCTGTCTGTGTCTGTGTATTCTCTTGTTCCGATTAACCCAGCCAAATCTTTGTTCTTGTTATGTATCTATATCTACGCCGGGATCCGGAGTCGAGGCTGATCCTCTTGCTGTAGTCCTGGGTCTTGGATCCTCTATCCTGAGTTCTGGATTAAGTGGTGGACTTCGGGTCGTGGCTGAACCTGTCTCTGCGGTCCTGCCTTGGGTCTCGTCATGCTGCTTCCCTGATGGCTTCCACAGGATTGTAGCTGACATCCTCGTGGATTCATCTTCTTATTACAGACACATGCATTTCCTAACATCCGGTCTATATGCTGTAAAATGTATTATCTCTTGGATTTACACACGGCATCTATTGCACGTCTGTCCGTCCTGGGAGAGGGATCCCTCCTCTGTTGCTCTCCCTGAGGTTTCTCCCATGTTCCCTTTAAACTGTGGGGTTTCTCTGGAAGTTTTTCCTTGTACGATGTGAAGGTCTAAGGACAGAGGGTCTAAGGACAGAGGGTCTAAGGACAGAGGGTCTAAGGACAGAGGGTCTGAGGACAGAGGGTCTAAGGACAGAGGGTCTAAGAACAGAGGGTGTCGTTTTTCTCATACTGATATTCTGAACAATCTGTGCTGTTGTATTTGCTGTAAAGTGTCTCTACTGTAGAATATTTTTATTATATGTTCAGCACTTTGGCTCAACCAAAAATCTTTATAAATGTGCTATATAAATAAAACTTGATTTGATTTGATTTGTCCGCTAAGTTCAGCAACACACTGACTTGGTTTGTGTAGCTAAAAGCAGCTACCAATCAGGCTCTAGTGAATCAGGCTCTAGTGAATCAGGCTCTAGTGAATCAGTCTCTAGTGAATCGGGCTCTAGTGAATCGGGCTCTAGTGAATCAGGCTCTAGTGAATCAGGCTCTTGTGAATCAGGCTCGAGTGAATCAGGCTCTAGTGAATCAGGCTCTAGTGAATCAGGCTCTAGTGAATCAGGCTCTAATGAATCAGGCTCTAGTGAATCAGTCTCTAATGAATCAGGCTCTAGTGAATCAGGCTCTAGTGAATCAGGCTCTAGTAAATCAGGCTCTAATGAATCAGGTTCTGGTGAATCAGGCTCTAATGAATCAGGCTCTAATGAATCAGGCTCTAGTGAATAAGGCTCTAGTGAAACAGGCTCTAGTAAATCAGGCTCTAATGAATCAGGTTCTGGTTAATCAGGCTCTAATGAATCAGGCTCTAGTGAGTCAGACTCTAGTGAATCAGGCTCTAGTGAATCAGGCTCTAGTGAATCAGGCTCTAGTGAATCAGGCTCTAGTGAATCAGGCTCTAGTGAATCAGGCTCTAGTGAATCAGGCTCTAATGAATCAGGCTCTAATGAATCAGGCTCTAGTGATTCAGTCTCTAATGAAACAGGCTCTAATGTATCAGGCTCTTATGAATCAGGCTCTAATGAATCAGGCTCTAGTGAATCAGGCTCTAATGAATCAGGCTCTAGTGAATCAGGCTCTAGTGAATCAGGCTCTAGTGAATCAGTCTCTAATGAATCAGGCTCTAGTAAATCAGGCTCTAATGAATCAGGTTCTGGTGAATCAGGCTCTAATGAATCAGGCTCTAATGAATCAGGCTCTAGTGAATAAGGCTCTAGTGAAACAGGCTCTAGTAAATCAGGTTCTAGTTAATCAGGCTCTAATGAATCAGGTTCTAGTGAGTCAGGCTCTAGTGAATCAGGCTCTAATGAATCAGGCTCTAGTGAATCAGGCTCTAATGAATCAGGCTCTAGTGAATCAGGCTCTAATGAATCAGGCTCTAATGAATCAGGCTCTAGTGATTCAGTCTCTAATGAAACAGGCTCTAATGTATAAGGCTCTAGTGAATCAGGCTCTAATGAATCAGGCTCTAATGAATCAGGCTCTAGTGAATCAGGCTCTAGTGAATCAGGCTCTAGTGAATCAGGCTCTAGTGAATCAGGCTCTAGTGAATCAGGCTCTAGTGAATCAGGCTCTAGTGAATCAGGCTCTAATGAATCAGGCTCTAGTGAATCAGTCTCTAATGAATCAGGCTCTAGTGAATCAGGCTCTAGTGAATCAGGCTCTAGTAAATCAGGCTCTAATGAATCAGGTTCTGGTGAATCAGGCTCTAATGAATCAGGCTCTAATGAATCAGGCTCTAGTGAATAAGGCTCTAGTGAAACAGGCTCTAGTAAATCAGGCTCTAATGAATCAGGTTCTGGTTAATCAGGCTCTAATGAATCAGGCTCTAGTGAAACAGGCTCTAGTAAATCAGGTTCTAGTTAATCAGGCTCTAATGAATCAGGTTCTAGTGAGTCAGGCTCTAGTGAATCAGGCTCTAATGAATCAGGCTCTAGTGAATCAGGCTCTAATGAATCAGGCTCTAGTGAATCAGGCTCTAATGAATCAGGCTCTAATGAATCAGGCTCTAGTGATTCAGTCTCTAATGAAACAGGCTCTAATGTATAAGGCTCTAGTGAATCAGGCTCTAATGAATCAGGCTCTAATGAATCAGGCTCTAGTGAATCAGGCTCTAGTGAATCAGGCTCTAGTGAATCAGGCTCTAGTGAATCAGGCTCTAGTGAATCAGGCTCTAGTGAATCAGGCTCTAGTGAATCAGGCTCTAATGAATCAGGCTCTAGTGAATCAGTCTCTAATGAATCAGGCTCTAGTGAATCAGGCTCTAGTGAATCAGGCTCTAGTAAATCAGGCTCTAATGAATCAGGTTCTGGTGAATCAGGCTCTAATGAATCAGGCTCTAATGAATCAGGCTCTAGTGAATAAGGCTCTAGTGAAACAGGCTCTAGTAAATCAGGCTCTAATGAATCAGGTTCTGGTTAATCAGGCTCTAATGAATCAGGCTCTAGTGAGTCAGACTCTAGTGAATCAGGCTCTAATGAATCAGGCTCTAGTGAATCAGGCTCGATTGAATCAGGCTCTAGTGAATCAGGCTCTAGTGCATCAGTCTCTATTGAATCAGGCTCTAGTGAATCAGGCTCTAGTGCAGGGGTGGCCAACCAGTCAGAGGTTAAGAGCCACATTTTTTCTATGTTATTGCAAAGAGCCACATCAAACACACAGTCACTGATACCGCTTGTTTCAGTTTTTTGTTTTCTGGAGACAAGATTTCAACCACGTCACTGATGCATTTTTGTGGCATTGGGATATATTTTTTAAATCCTCTGGAGCAGAGAGAGGAGCTGTGGATTATTGTTATTGATTAATGCATCAGTGTTTCTTAGGGTCAAAAACACTAAACCCACAACTTAAGATGAAAGCGTTTAGTTTATTTAATAAAAGAGCACATGTTCAATGTGAAAAGTGACAGTAGTTATAGATTATTTGCAATTTGGTGGTATATATATATATATTTTTTTTAAATTATATATATAACACCTTGAATTCCAGGGGGGGGGGGGGCGCGGGGCTCCGTTGGCGGGCAGCGCCCCTCTAAGACAATGGTAGGGGAAACACTGGATAGTGTTTAATCAACGATAGGTTTCCCCCCCCTCAAAGGTGATTGGTTCACTGCATCGCAGGTATTATTGTGATTGGCTCTTGGGCCACATCAAAATTAGACGCGCTGTCATCCTCTCATACTGACACCTGACACCACACATACACACGTAGGGAGAGCCGGGACGAAAGTAACACGGGACGAAAGTAACGGAGCTATTTTATCCGAGCCCGAACAACTTTGACCAGCCAAATTACGTCAGAATTATCAGCATTCAACACTTAACAGACCTACTAAATATCAGGTTTAACTGTCAGGAGTAGTGTTGTCACGATACCAACATTTTGGTTTCGATACCAAGTCAAGAATTGCGATTCCGATTATTTTTCTTAAAAAAAGGGAAACAGTCTTAAATGTAATTATTGTGCTTTATTTCACACCAGAACCATAACCATAACACAAACTTTTAAACAATGAGAACAATAAATAAAATAAATGACAAGAATTCGTATTAAATAAAATTAATACATTTCTTACAGACGGGCCTCGTGGTGTCCGTAGGCTTGCCCTCACTGTCAGAGATATCGCTCAAATACTTCCACATTTCGCTTCTGGCGTCTTTTTTCTCAACAAGCCGTGGCGCAGCGGCAGTTGTACTCCCACTTGCAGCCATGCTTCTGGTTTTCTCACATGCTCTGGCAGCTAGCGCGTGCACGAGAGAGGGGAGGGACTTAGAGCGTGCTTGAGAGGGGCGGGACAGCAGGCACGGCTGCAGTGCAGGGAGTGGAAGCAGAGCGCTGAACACACACGGCTCTTATTAAAACGGCGCTTTCTCACCGGAGTACTTTCCCCCGTCATTCTTAAAGTACCGATACTAATGAAACGGAGGAATCGTAACGTTTTTAACGGCAGGGTATCGCGGTATACCTTTCAAGTATCGGTACACCATGCAACACTAGTCAGGAGTCAGTGTCTCTCCCCCAAACTCACACATATAAAATTCGATATGAACTGAAGAGCCGCATGAAACTAGGCAAAGAGCCGCATGCGGCTCGAGAGCCGCGGGTTGGCCACCCCTGCTCTAGTGAATCAGGCTCTAGTGAATCAGACTCTAATGAATCAGGCTCTAGTGAATCAGGCTCTAATGAATCAGGCTCTAGTGAATCAGGCTCTAGTGAATCAGGCTCTAGTGAATCAGGCTCTAGTGAAACAGGCTCTAGTAAATCAGGCTCTAATGAATCAGGCTCTAGTGAATCAGGCTCTAATGAATCAGGCTCTAATGAATCAGGCTCTAATGAATCAGGCTCTAGTGAATCAGGCTCTAATGAATCAGGCTCTAGTGAATCAGGCTCTAATGAATCAGGCTCTAATGAATCAGGCTCTAATGAATCAGGCTCTAATGAATCAGGTTCTGGTGAATCAGGCTCTAATGAATCAGGCTCTAGTGAGTCAGGCTCTAGTGAATCAGGCTCTAATGAATCAGGCTCTAGTGAATCAGGCTCTTGTGAATCAGGCTCGAGTGAATCAGGCTCTAGTGAATCAGGCTCTAGTGCATCAGTCTCTATTGAATCAGGCTCTAGTGAATCAGGCTCTAGTGAATCAGGCTCTAGTGCATCAGTCTCTATTGAATCAGGCTCTAGTGAATCAGGCTCTAGTGAATCAGGATCTAGTGAATCAGACTCTAATGAATCAGGCTCTAGTGAGTCAGGCTCTAGTGAATCAGGCTCTTGTGAATCAGGCTCTAATGAATCAGGCTCTAGTGAATCAGGATCTTGTGAATCAGGCTCTAGTGAATCAGGCTCTAGTGAATCAGGCTCTAGTGAATCAGACTCTAATGAATCAGGCTCTAGTGAGTCAGGCTCTAGTGAATCAGGCTCTTGTGAATCAGGCTCTAATGAATCAGGCTCTAGTGAATCAGGATCTTGTGAATCAGGCTCTAGTAAATCAGGCTCTAATGAATCAGGTTCTGGTGAATCAGGATCTTGTGAATCAGGCTCTAGTAAATCAGGCTCTAATGAATCAGGTTCTGGTGAATCATGCTCTAATGAATCAGGCTCTAATGAATCAGGCTCTAGTGAATAAGGCTCTAGTGAAACAGGCTCTAGTAAATCAGGCTCTAATGAATCAGGCTCTAGTGAATCAGGCTCTAATGAATCAGACTCTAATGAATCAGGCTCTAATGAATCAGGCTCTAGTGAATCAGGCTCTAGTGAATCAGGCTCTAATGAATCAGGCTCTAATGAATCAGGCTCTAATGAATCAGGCTCTAATGAATCAGGTTCTGGTGAATCAGGCTCTAATGAATCAGGCTCTAGTGAGTCAGGCTCTAGTGAATCAGGCTCTAATGAATCAGGCTCTAGTGAATCAGGCTCTTGTGAATCAGGCTCGAGTGAATCAGGCTCTAGTGAATCAGGCTCTAGTGATTCAGTCTCTAATGAAACAGGCTCTAATGTATCAGGCTCTTATGAATCAGGCTCTAATGAATCAGGCTCTAGTGAATCAGGCTCTAATGAATCAGGCTCTAGTGAATCAGGCTCTAGTGAATCAGGCTCTAGTGAATCAGTCTCTAATGAATCAGGCTCTAGTAAATCAGGCTCTAATGAATCAGGTTCTGGTGAATCAGGCTCTAATGAATCAGGCTCTAATGAATCAGGCTCTAGTGAATAAGGCTCTAGTGAAACAGGCTCTAGTAAATCAGGTTCTAGTTAATCAGGCTCTAATGAATCAGGTTCTAGTGAGTCAGGCTCTAATGAATCAGGCTCTAGTGAATCAGGCTCTAGTGAATCAGGCTCTAGTGAATCAGGCTCTAGTAAATCAGGCTCTAATGAATCAGGTTCTGGTGAATCAGGCTCTAATGAATCAGGCTCTAATGAATCAGGCTCTAGTGAATAAGGCTCTAGTGAAACAGGCTCTAGTAAATCAGGCTCTAATGAATCAGGTTATGGTTAATCAGGCTCTAATGAATCAGGCTCTAGTGAGTCAGACTCTAGTGAATCAGGCTCTAATGAATCAGGCTCTAGTGAATCAGGCTCTAGTGAATCAGGCTCTAGTGAATCAGGCTCTAGTGCATCAGTCTCTAGTGAATCAGGCTCTAGTGAATCAGGCTCTAGTGAATCAGGCTCTAGTGAATCAGGCTCTAGTGAATCAGGCTCTAGTGAATCAGGCTCTAATGAATCAGGCTCTAGTGAATCAGGCTCTAGTGAATCAGGCTCTAGTGAATCAGGCTCTAGTGAATCAGGCTCTAGTAAATCAGGCTATAATGAATCAGGCTCTAGTGAATCAGGCTCTAATGAATCAGGCTCTAATGAATCAGGCTCTAATGAATCAGGCTCTAGTGAATCAGGCTCTAATGAATCAGGCTCTAGTGAATCAGGCTCTAATGAATCAGGCTCTAATGAATCAGGCTCTAATGAATCAGGCTCTAATGAATCAGGTTCTGGTGAATCAGGCTCTAATGAATCAGGCTCTAGTGAGTCAGGCTCTAGTGAATCAGGCTCTAATGAATCAGGCTCTAGTGAATCAGGCTCTTGTGAATCAGGCTCGAGTGAATCAGGCTCTAGTGAATCAGGCTCTAGTGCATCAGTCTCTATTGAATCAGGCTCTAGTGAATCAGGCTCTAGTGAATCAGGCTCTAGTGCATCAGTCTCTATTGAATCAGGCTCTAGTGAATCAGGCTCTAGTGAATCAGGATCTAGTGAATCAGACTCTAATGAATCAGGCTCTAGTGAGTCAGGCTCTAATGTATCAGGCTCTTATGAATCAGGCTCTAATGAATCAGGCTCTAGTGAATCAGGCTCTAATGAATCAGGCTCTAGTGAATCAGGCTCTAGTGAATCAGGCTCTAGTGAATCAGTCTCTAATGAATCAGGCTCTAGTAAATCAGGCTCTAATGAATCAGGTTCTGGTGAATCAGGCTCTAATGAATCAGGCTATAATGAATCAGGCTCTAGTGAATAAGGCTCTAGTGAAACAGGCTCTAGTAAATCAGGTTCTAGTTAATCAGGCTCTAATGAATCAGGTTCTAGTGAGTCAGGCTCTAATGAATCAGGCTCTAGTGAATCAGGCTCTAGTGAATCAGGCTCTAGTGAATCAGGCTCTAGTAAATCAGGCTCTAATGAATCAGGTTCTGGTGAATCAGGCTCTAATGAATCAGGCTCTAATGAATCAGGCTCTAGTGAATAAGGCTCTAGTGAAACAGGCTCTAGTAAATCAGGCTCTAATGAATCAGGTTATGGTTAATCAGGCTCTAATGAATCAGGCTCTAGTGAGTCAGACTCTAGTGAATCAGGCTCTAATGAATCAGGCTCTAGTGAATCAGGCTCTAGTGAATCAGGCTCTAGTGAATCAGGCTCTAGTGCATCAGTCTCTAGTGAATCAGGCTCTAGTGAATCAGGCTCTAGTGAATCAGGCTCTAGTGAATCAGGCTCTAGTGAATCAGGCTCTAGTGAATCAGGCTCTAATGAATCAGGCTCTAGTGAATCAGGCTCTAGTGAATCAGGCTCTAGTGAATCAGGCTCTAGTGAATCAGGCTCTAGTAAATCAGGCTATAATGAATCAGGCTCTAGTGAATCAGGCTCTAATGAATCAGGCTCTAATGAATCAGGCTCTAATGAATCAGGCTCTAGTGAATCAGGCTCTAATGAATCAGGCTCTAGTGAATCAGGCTCTAATGAATCAGGCTCTAATGAATCAGGCTCTAGTGAATCAGGCTCTAATGAATCAGGTTCTGGTGAATCAGGCTCTAATGAATCAGGCTCTAGTGAGTCAGGCTCTAGTGAATCAGGCTCTAATGAATCAGGCTCTAGTGAATCAGGCTCTTGTGAATCAGGCTCGAGTGAATCAGGCTCTAGTGAATCAGGCTCTAGTGCATCAGTCTCTATTGAATCAGGCTCTAGTGAATCAGGCTCTAGTGAATCAGGCTCTAGTGCACCAGTCTCTATTGAATCAGGCTCTAGTGAATCAGGCTCTAGTGAATCAGGATCTAGTGAATCAGACTCTAATGAATCAGGCTCTAGTGAGTCAGGCTCTAGTGAATCAGGCTCTTGTGAATCAGGCTCTAATGAATCAGGCTCTAGTGAATCAGGATCTTGTGAATCAGGCTCTAGTGAATCAGGCTCTAGTGAATCAGGCTCTAGTGAATCAGACTCTAATGAATCAGGCTCTAGTGAGTCAGGCTCTAGTGAATCAGGCTCTTGTGAATCAGGCTCTAATGAATCAGGCTCTAGTGAATCAGGATCTTGTGAATCGGGCTCTAGTAAATCAGGCTCTAATGAATCAGGTTCTGGTGAATCAGGATCTTGTGAATCAGGCTCTAGTAAATCAGGCTCTAATGAATCAGGTTCTGGTGAATCATGCTCTAATGAATCAGGCTCTAATGAATCAGGCTCTAGTGAATAAGGCTCTAGTGAAACAGGCTCTAGTAAATCAGGCTCTAATGAATCAGGCTCTAGTGAATCAGGCTCTAATGAATCAGGCTCTAATGAATCAGGCTCTAGTGAATCAGGCTCTAGTGAATCAGGCTCTAATGAATCAGGCTCTAATGAATCAGGCTCTAATGAATCAGGCTCTAATGAATCAGGTTCTGGTGAATCAGGCTCTAATGAATCAGGCTCTAGTGAGTCAGGCTCTAGTGAATCAGGCTCTAATGAATCAGGCTCTAGTGAATCAGGCTCTTGTGAATCAGGCTCGAGTGAATCAGGCTCTAGTGAATCAGGCTCTAGTGCATCAGTCTCTATTGAATCAGGCTCTAGTGAATCAGGCTCTAGTGAATCAGGCTCTAGTGAATCAGACTCTAATGAGTCAGGCTCTAGTGAGTCAGGCCCTAGTGAATCAGGCTCTTGTGAATCAGGCTCTAATGAATCAGGCTCTAGTGAATCAGGCTCTAGAGAATCAGGCTCTAGTGAATCAGGCTCTAATGAATCAGGCTCTAGTGAATCAGGCTCTAGTGAATCAGGATCTTGTGAATCAGAATCGAGTGAATCAGGCTCTAGTGAATATGGCTCTAGTGCATCAGTCTCTATTGAATCAGGCTCTAGTGAATCAGGCTCTAATGAATCAGGCTCTAGTCAGTCAGGCTCTAATGAATCAGGCTCTAGTGAATCAGGCTCTTGTGAATCAGGCTCGAGTGAATCAGGCTCTAGTGAATCAGGCTCTAGTGCATCAGTCTCTATTGAATCAGGCTCTAGTGAATCAGGCTCTAATGAATCAGGCTCTAATGAATCAGTCTCTAGTGAATCAGGCTCTAGTCAGTCAGGCTCTAATGAATCAGGCTCTAGTGAATCAGGCTCTTGTGAATCAGGCTCGAGTGAATCAGGCTCTAGTGAATCAGGCTCTAGTGAATCAGACTCTAGTGAATCAGGCTCTAGTGAATCAGGCTCTGTCAGGCTCTAATAAATCAGGCTCTAGTAAATCAGGCTCTAGTGAATCAGGCTCTAGTGAATCAGGCTCTAATGAATCGGGCTCTAGTGAATCAGGCTCCAATGAATCAGGCTCTAGTGAATCAGGCTCTAGTGAATCAGGCTCTAGTGAATCAGGCTCTAGTGAATCAGTCTCTAATGAATCAGGCTCTAGTGAATCAGGCCCCACACCTCCACACAGAGCCCCCCCATATCTACACAGAGCCCCCCACCTCCACACAGAGTCCCCACACCTCCACACATAGCCCCCCCCCCCACCTCCACACAGAGAACCCCACCTCCACACAGAGCCCCCCACCTCCACACAGAGCCCCCACACCTCCACACAGATCCCCCCCTCACCTCCACAGATCCCCCCCTCACCTCCACACATAGCCCCCCTCACCTCCACACAGAGCGCCCCCACCTCCACACTGAGCCCCCTCACCTCCACACAGAGCCCCCACACCTCCACACAGATCCCCCCCCACACCTCCACACAGATCCCCCCCGCCTCACCTCCACACAGAGCCCCCTCACCTCCACACAGAGCGCCCCCACCTCCACACAGAGCCCCCTCACCTCCACACAGAGCACCCCCATACCTCCACACAGAGCCCCCACACCTCCACACAGATCCCCCCCCTCACCTCCACACAGATCCCCCCCCACA